CCTGTTCTCAAGAGGAATGGTTTCAGTCTCTCTCCATTGAGGGTAATATTGGCTGTTGGTTTTGCATAAATGCCTTTTATTATGTTGAGGAAGGACATTTCCCATTTTTATTTTAAATCTTACTGTCACTTTCTTTTTAAAATGCATGTTACGAACATCATATGGTTCGATTTTGTGTTTTTATCCAGACTGACAAATTTTCTTTTCTAATTGGAATATTTAGTCCATTTACATTTAATGTAATTGTGGTCTATTGAATGCTACCATCTTACTATTTACTTTTATTTCTCTGTTTTTTCTTACTGTCTCTCTTGTCTTCTTTTGGATTAATTAGGTGATTTTTAACTTTTTCCTTTTTGTCCTCAACTACTTTCAAGCTTTGTTTCTTTTCTGTTATTTTAGTGGTTACCCTAGATATCACAGCATGTGTCTTGGACTTACCACAGTCTAATATGGCACTTGGTACTTTTACCCTCTCTCCAGGGAACAGTGTTGAAATACTTTGCTCTTTCATCCTTCTCCCAACTTACTTTCAATTATATATTTTAGTTCTATATAATTTTTAAGTCCAATAAGATACTATTGTTTTATACATCAAATATTTGTTTAGATCACCTGTATGTTTTCCCTTTCTTTTGCTCTTCCTTTCTTCTGGAATCCTAGACTTCCATCTGGGATCATTTTCTTTCTGCCTCCTGAAAGCCCTTTTGAGTTTCCACTAATACTGTGTGCCTCTGTTATGTTCTCTCTTTTTCTCTGCATCTGAAAATAACTTTATTTCAGTTTCATGCTTGAAGGATATTTTTGCTAGGTATGGCATTCCCCCTTTTTTCCTTTTGTGTTCTGAAGATAGCATTCTACCATTTTCTGCCTTACGTTGTTTCTTTTGAGGATTTAGTTTGTGGTCTTCTTGTTCCACAAGATAATTTATCCTTTAACCCACTTTCTGTTTTTAAGATCTTTTCTTTGTTGTTCAGCAGTTTTGTGATGTGTGGCTTTCTCTGTACTTACTCTGCTTGGGACTTGTGCATCTCAAAACTATGCCTTCATATCTTTTTTCAGTTTTAGAAAATTCTTATCCTGTGTTTTCTCAGTTATAGTAGTTTTTAAAAAGTTTTCATGAATGAGTGAAGATTATGAGCCTTTTCCAAAGTGAATGAGCTGAGAAATACTCCTCACCAGTCGCACTTGGCACGTGTGTTTCTATCCATATAATTAAAATTATGAAAAGAAGCAAAATAAAAACAACTGTATGTGTGCTGTTTCCACTTTATTGTATCTTAAGTGACCTCTACCAGGTTCTTACATGCAAGATTTACTGATTGTCACCTACTCTTTATTATACGCTAGGCTAATTGGAGGAGCCCTGGTGGCAAAATGGGAGCTCTGGTAGCGTAGTACCTAAAGCATTTGACTCCTAACCAGAAGACTGGTGGTTCAAATCCACCAGCTACTCCTCAGAAGGAGGGTTGGGCAATCTACTTCTGTAGTGATACTGCCTCGGAAACCCAAGGAGGGGTCACTATGAGTCAGATCTGAGACAGCAGTGGGGGTGGGTGGCAGAATAAGGAGCTGTGGTGATGTAGTGTGGTGATGTAGTGCTTAAGGCATTTGACTGCTAACCAGAAGGTTGGTGATTCAAACCCACCAGCCACTCCATGTAAGGAAGACTGGGCAATCTATTTCTGTAAAGATTTACCACCTCAGAAACCCAATGGGGGTCACAATGAGTTGGACTTGACTCAATGGCAGTCCCCCCCCCCATGGCAAAATAGTTAAGCACTTGACTATTAATCAAAAGGTTGGCAGTTTGAACCCACCAGTTGCTCCACAGAAGAAAAGACCTGGTGATTGATACTGTAAAGATACAATTTTGAGCAGTTCTCTTCTGTCCTGTAGGTCACCATGAGTGAGAATCGACTTGACAACACACAACAACAACACAGCAAGACTAATTTTATCTTAAGTTTTATTTCCTAAGTAAATATTTATTAGGATATAAGCAGTGAGGTATATTCCTCAGACTCAAGGAAACCGGATATGGAGTGGTGGGGAAGTCTGTGGCCCTTCTATTGACCTAAAACCCCTTAGTTTTTGTTGGCTAGGCAGTTCCATATACTCCATCTTAATTGCCCTTTGTGGGGAACCCTTGAGTTTATCAGGGAGGTAGTATCTCCATTTGCAGCTATCACTGAGGCACAGCAAGGATCCAGAGTGGCAGATCTCGTCTCAAACCAGCCTAGGACTTTCCCCAGGAGAGCTCTGCCTCTGTATTTGAGTACCTGTTAAATAACCTCACAGTTACGTACGTGGCCTTTGTTTTTGTTGTTGTTAGTTGCCATTGAGTTGATTCTGACTCACCCCATGTTGCAGAGTAGAACTGTCCTCCACAGGGTTTCCAAGGCTGTCACCTTCCTTCCACGGTGCCTCTGAGTGGGTCAGACTGCCAGCCTTTTGGTTAGAAGCCAAGCGCTTATCCCTTGGAACCACCCAGGGACTCCTGATGGCCATACGCTCTTCTGATTCCAGAGTGTCATGGCTCTTCCACAGCTACAGATGTAGTACGTGGGCAATCCAGAAGCAGAGTTTAACTCATTTGTCTTTTTCTTTTTCTTTTCCCTGTACATTTACACAAACTGACTGTAAGAGGGAGCCCTAGTGGCACAGTGGTTAAAGGGCTAGGCTGCTAACCAAAAGGTCAGCTGTTTGACTCCATCAGCTGCTCTGCAGGAGAAAGATGTGGCTATTCTGCTTCTGTAAAGATTTACAGCCTTGGAAACCCTGTGGGGCAGTTCTGCTCTGTCTGTGGGGTCGTTAGGAATCAGAATCGAGTCAGTGGCAGTGAGAGTATGACTATAGGAGAGGCAAGAACTTTGCTGCCTGCCGGGGAAGGGTGAGATCCCATCACCCTTCCAGTTGACATGCCCCTTCATAAAAGCACGTCAGGCATCCCATAAAAGCCCTTCTGTAAGTATATTGGTTGACAATATATTTCTCTCTTGCAGCTGACTCAGGAATTAGAATGGATTGCCTGGAAGATTTGATAGTGAGTCTGGAAATGGTGAGGAGATTGCCATGAGCATTGGCCAGTGAACAGCTTACCTTGTGGATTTTTGATCACTGCTTCTGGGCACTTCAGGGATGAAGAGAGTAAGGTAAGAGAGAAAGCATAAAGGTGGGTATTGAGGCACATGTTTGGAAGGCAATGAAGTGGAGCTTATGCCTGGATCATCATGTCTCACCCACGGTAAGTCATACTCATATAGGACAACATTCTTTCAGTAGTGTTTGTGGGATACGTGAGCCAGGACTGTGGAAAGACAGGGAATACAACTGTGAATAAGACAAATATCTCCTGCCTTCATGGTACTCAGCTGAGCGGCGGATGTCGATTGATAAACAATTAGAAAACTGTGCATCAGGTTTCCTTATGGGATAAATACAGGTTACAGTTGGAGCACCTAGAGGGGACTTCCAGTGCAATAAGAGGGGCCCTGGAAAGATTCCTGGAGGAAGTGATATCTAAGCTGAGCTCCAAAGGAGAATCAGACACTAGTAAGGTGACTGGGTGCTGGTGTAGAGCTGAGGGGAGTCTGCACAAGAAAGCGAGGGTGTCCTATGGAGCTAAACAGGTTGCATTTTGGTATGGCTTTAGCGCACAGAAGGTGGACATTTCTGTAGGCAAAACCTGTTCTTCCGGTGATCTGGGTGCATGTGCACTACCTGAAACTCGGGCACCTCCGTGATTTGGCGACCATTCACTGGAATGTGCAGGTAGGAACCCTGAGTCCCTAGATTCAGGCAAGGCAGCGCGGTAACGCAGATTTCCACACGAAACTCCTTGACTGGCCCAATGTGACTCATTCCCCTCTCACTGCAGCAGAGAGCACCATCAAGTGGGCCTTACTGGCCCCCATTCTGTCCATTTTCAAGAAGTATTTTTGCCGTTCCCGTGGTCTCCTGAAATTCTGAAACCAAATTACACGTCAATCCTGTCCCCACCTGCTGCCATCGAGTAGATTCGGACTCAGAGCGACCCTATAGGACAGAGTAGAACTGTCCCGTAGGGTCTCCAAGGCTGTCATCTCTACACACAGCCTGATCTTTCTCCTGCTAACCTTTTGGTTAGCAGCCAAATGCGCTAGGTGCAATACCACCAAGAATACAATTTCTCCTGAAGGTGACTGATTCTATTACCTAAATTTTAATCCTTTAATATGCCTCCTAAGAAGTTTCCTTGGTTGAGAAAAATTATAAAAACAAACAAACAACAAAAACTGAAGAGAGAATGAGAACTATAACAACATGGAAACCATTTTGTCATTCCCCACCCCCCAAGGCCACCCCAAGAACATTGGCTAGCTTTGGCCAGGGAAGGGAATTAGTAAGTGGATCTGTTGGTATATATTAACAATGGGAAGTGAATTGCTTCTCAAGTCCTCTAAATAAATGTGAAACAGCAGGTCAGGACTTTGACCTTGAAGTGCTACTGAAGGTGTGGTCAGTATAAGGACGTATGTGGGGCAGCCCTGTCTCATGTCGTCTGGTCCCCTGTCTGGCCATGGAAACTGATGCACCAACACAGTTCACCCCACTTCAGGAAGATAGTTGGAATCCTCTGCCCAAATGTGTTGTGGGTTTGAGAACATTCCATTTCATCAGCTATTCCATGAGTATTTCAAGGATTAAGGAGCAGCTCAGTGATGTGGACCCACTGGCCGTCTAGCATGTGTCCTGCCATGGCAGCTTATGTGTTGCTTTGATGCTGGAAGCTTGGCTCCGGTATTTTAAATACCAGCTGGTTACTCACAGTGGACAGGTGTCCGCAGATCTTTCAGATGAAGACAGACTAGGAAGAAAGGCCTGGTGACCTTCGTCCAATGTTGTTATGTGCTATCAAGTCGGACCTGACTCATAGCGACCCCTCCTTGGGTTGCCGAGGCTGTATCGCCACGGAAGTAGATTGCCCAACCTTCCTTCCAAGGAGTGGCTGGTGGGTCTGAACCACCAGCCTTCTGGTTAGCAGTTAAGTGCCTTAGGCACTATGCTACCAGAGATCCAAATAGTAGCCCCCAAATTAGCCAACGAGGACCTTGTGGATCGCTACGGAGCACTGTCGGACTCGCTTGCTTTGGACACGTCATCAGAAAGGGTCAGTCACTGGAGGAGGACATCACATTTGGGGAAACTGAGGGCCGGGGGGGCGAGGGAGACACTCAGTGAATGGACTGGTACAGTAGCCACAATGAGGGACTGAAGCATGCCAGTGACCGTGGGGATGGCACACGTTTCCTTGTGTTACCCACAAGTTCATCATGAGTGGACTCAACAGCAGCTATCTCTTTAATCTACCTGAGGGATCTGGATAAGGAGCTCTGGTGGCACAGTGTGTAAGGCATTTGGCTGCTAACCAGAAGGTCAGCTGTTCAAAACCCACCAGCTGCTCTGTGGAAGGAAGATGAGGCTTAGGGTTAGGGATTTACAGCCTTGAAAACCCAATTTCCATTATGGGTTGGAATTTTCCGCTATGAGTCAGAACTGACTCGATGGCAGGGTTTTTTTAGTGATCTGGATAGAATGAAAACCCTTTAAATACCGGTACTGAAGGCAGTAGCTCCTTTTGTCCCTGCTTAAATAGAAGGCCACTTTGGGGAGACATGTGTTACTCGGCGGAATCCTCTAGGTGGTGCTGTTGCTGTAGCTATGGGCTAGGAATGTTTTTCAGCACTTGGTATCAAACCAAATATCTAACTTATTAAGTGGCTTACAGTTGTGGTTAATTGCTAATATGATGCCATTGATAATTTATACCGTCACATCGATATTGGCTTCTCCAAAAAATGAGCCTATGTATGTAAATTACACAATGCAGAGCAATTTCAAGGGTTGGAAAAGGTGTACTTCTTGGGTTGTTATTGAATCCAATTAAGGACTTTCACATGTGACCATGTTTCTCCAAACATTGGCTGTAGGATTAGCTTTTCCTTGCCTCTAATTGAGATGGATAGGACAGTGCCTTGTACATATTCGATGCTGAATTAATCTTTGATAAATGAATTCTTTTTTTCTTTCACTAGTCATTACAGAAGAGATGACTAACTGGATTAAGTTTTTAAAAACCCTAGTCAGATATTGTTGCATATCTTTGCTAATAAAAAGATAAGGAGGCCATTTTTTCTTTGTTTCTGAAAATAGTCTGATATCTATACATATCTATATACCTATATCTATATATCTATATAGATATAATCTCTTCTTTATTTTAAAAACGAATTGGCTTTCAGGTTGGTTCCACTGAAATGCAGGAGTGGTCTGACAATTTTGTTTGATAATTGCTTGAATCTTAATCAAGATTTTATTAAAATCAATATTTGATATGCTGCTCAATTTAATTAAATTAAACCATAGAGAAATGAGTAATAAATGAGCTTGAAAATCAATCACAGGGTGAGGTGTATTTCTGTGGAATTAGCTTGACTTATGAATTGTTGGGTTAAGCAACTGCTGACCACAAAAGGAACATTTCCGTTGATAGAATAGGCAACTAAAGTGAAGGAGCGCAGCCCCCATGCCCATAGTCTGTTCAGGTGGTAAATGGCAGAAGTGGGTGGTAACATAAAGACCAAGTTTTCCCCACTACCTCTGATTGCTTGCAGATAGGGAGAGAACATTGGTGCTAGCTCTGGATGGCACATACCACCACCAACAGCTGGTCTTCAAAGGAGGATGGCTTTTCAAGAGCAGTGGTCTGTTGTTAGCTGCTGTCAGGTCGGCCCCTAACTCACGCACCCCTGTGCACGGTGGGCTCTCACCGTTGTGTTTCACAGGGTTTTCACTGCCTGGTTTTTGTAGGTCGGTCACCAGCCCTTTCTTCCTACCTGACCTGTTGAGCATCTTAGCTAAGCACAGGCTTCCACTGGGAGATGAGTGGAAACTGCACGCGCAGAGCGTCGTCTGGGAAACAAGCCGCGCCTGCTGCGTGGGAGTGAGATCCGCCTCCTGAACCACCGGTGTCCCTCGGCCGCCATCGGAGCGGGGCAAGGCCCAAATAAAAAGCAGGGGTGTTGACGTAGTACTTCCGAGTCCCACGGACTGGAGAAAAAGGGCTTTTCTTTTCTGCACAGACCCCGAATGCAGTTATTTACCATATAATTTATGTTTATTGCAAGTGGCAGAGATTTATGGCTTTAGCAAAAAACGTGTTCTAATTGGGATTAGCTAATGAAACAGTGGCTGGGACTGGAGAAGGAGAAAGTCGGAAAATGTGATTTCAGTTGAGGTGTTTCTGCTCTCGTGGGACGCTGACAAAAGGGGCAGTGTTTGCACTGGGGCAAGATTCCGACTTTTAATTAGGCCTTCGGAGCCTGTGCCAGCATTTTTGGTCTCAGTATTCCTAGCCATCCAAAGACGTGACTCTCGGAAACCAATGATGTCCTCGTTGAATCCCATTGGCGATGAGAATAAAACGGCTGCTTCCTGAAATCCCCCTGCTGTCTAGTCCGTGCTCGTTGGGTGTGATGAAGCTGAAATTCCACAGTAACAACCACACAACTGTGTCACTTCTACACCCAAAAACCAGAAACCGAACCTATGGCCAGCGAGGTGATTCTTGTTGCTGTTGTTAGGTGCCGTCAGTCGTTTCTGACGCTCGTAGCGACCCTGTGCGCTGCAGAACGAGACACCACCCGATCCCGCGCCGGCTCCACGGTCCTCGTGGCATTAGCCGCAAGGAATAAGCCCTTGTCTTACTTCCTATTGCCATCTAAGATGGCTCGTTTGGAAAACTAAAACGAACTCCGTTGACCTTAAAAGAAAGCTTTGTTCCATGAACACCAATGGGAAACCAGAGTCACTTGGCCTAAGAAGGCAATGAGTGTAAAGAAACACATTTAAATCAAAACAGTGTTACCAAAGTTTCGCTCTAGGAAAGGGTTCAGATGTGTTAAAGAGTTATTTGCTCCAAAGTGAGACTTCCTCTTTGATTCAATCTGAGAATAAAAGAGATCTGAACAGGGACTAGTTTTCTCCTGACGTGAGTCAGTTCTCTCCCTCGCAGTGTCCTCGCACACTTCCCGCACGTTCCCCTGCAGACCCACGCCGGGGACCGACAGCCCACGCTCCTGTGTCTGCAGCTCTTCCTTGACCCTTCACCTCCTTTCCTCGCTCTGCAGCCTCGTGCTCTCCACCCATCTAATCCCGCTCCCCTTGTCTCTAAGCGTTCAGGGACTCCATCATGCAAACATACGGAGGTCGGAGGGCAGATTACACAATAGCTTCTAATTGTTGGTGGATGTGGTTTTCTTCAGATAATTTGTTTGTGATGATTTTTCTCTAAACAGATATGGCCAATTTCTAACAGTAAAGTAACTGTACTGAAAAATATGTCCATATGGAGGAATGAGCAACCGATAAACAGCATATACATTTCATGCAAAACACCGAAGAAAGCTAATCTAGATATTAATCAAATGAATGGATGAAACCCAAGTTACAAGTAGAAAAAACTAGCCCAGGTCACCCTCGTTTGTTCCGGCTGAGGTTACCCGCTTCACGAGCCTCTGCATTCTTTTACACTTTTCCATATTTTTATTCCTCTGTTGCTTGTGTTGCAGTTACTGGTATCTAACCCATACTCACAATTAAGCAGTATTGATTACAATGGCTTGGAAACCAGGCATCAGCTAAGAGAGTTGACAAAGCAGTCATTTGTAGATTTGGGGTGTGATTGTGGGCAGGATGCACTGGAGGGTGGAGTTTCTCCTGCTTTGGTTGTTCGATTTAGCATTGGGTGTCCGTGGCCCCCTTCTAGATGACTGTCTGGAGCAGGGGGCCATCCTTGATGGTGCAAGCGCCTTTTCATAGTAGCATAAGATG